TACAGCAACTACTACAAGTTATTTGAAAGTTCTACTTCTATAAAGTGTCTAGTATTTACAGAAAATTTGACTTTTAGTCAAAATCAGCAATTTCTCGGACACATGGCGAACTTGGGAAATGGTGATGAAAGGTCAAATAGGCATTATGAATATGCATAAAATGAATGTGGATATGACTCAATCCGAATAACAGTTTTAATTTGTACAAGCTAACTCAGTCAAACAAAATGTACTTTTTAGTCAACTTCATGTCTATTTCTTGAGTTGACTTGCACCACTAATATTGACAAGATTATCATGGCGAAATTTGTATCATCTGGATCAGTCATTTTGAAAACAAAGTTGTGGTTACTAAAAACATGGTTGTCATGGCTACAAATTACTATTCGTTTTAAAATTATTACTGTTCATACATTGGTTGATTAATAATATATGTGTGAGATGACTTGATGTTGCTGACATCAATAACCATCCATTTGCTACCTGGCAACTACTGTACTGGAATAATGCTCATTTCAAATGAAAAATGAATATAATGCCTCTCCATCAATTTGTATGCTATTAAATTTTAGGAGTTGGAGTTAGTGATAGACAACGTCAGCCTTACATTAATTACTTGAACTAAACGAACATTCCTTTAGTATGAAATAGAAGTCTAAACGAAGATGACACCAGTTTGAAAGTAACTGTTAAAAATAGAACATCTTTTGAAATGTAGTTAAGTACTCTTTCAATAAACTTTTTCTGCTATCAAAAAGCATATAACACATCAGATATCCGTAAAATAGAGACAAATATCTAAATGGGTGAACTACAATGCTTTGTGGATAATAGGAATTTACAGGGAACGTATTTGGAGAGCAAAAGTGGACGCAAACCTTAAGAAGTAATCTTAATAATAAATAATAAAAAATGGATGTCAACCAGACAATAAATAAAACATCAGATTCTGTGAGTTTCATTGTGCCTAATGTTCCAAGTTATATCACTAGAGTAATAATGTTTCTATGGATTTGTGGAGGAAATGGCTTGGTGATAACTGCATATCTAAAATACAAGACACTACAAACAGTCACAAATTATTGGATACTGCATTTAGCAATTGCAGATTTTACAATGGGAGTGGAAATAATTTTTGAACTTGGTGGTCAAATTTTTATTGATGGATCTTGGACTGAATATGCCATTCCACCCGCGGCCTTTTTTGTGTACTGCGCAACTATTGTGATTCTTTACAACACTTCAACTTTCATGTCATTATTGGCACTAATTAGTGTAACAGTTGATAGATACATTGCTATATTTTGGCCACTGAGGTATCCAGACATTATGACATACAATAGAGCAAGAGTCGCAGCTGGAACAATGTGGGGTGTCCTTTTTGGGTATAGCATTGTCTCAATACTAGAATTGCGACTGAGATATGGTGCATGGGGAAACATTGAAATGTGTGTTACAGACTTAACAGCATATATATTTGGAGTAGCTTTCTTTTTAACAGGCATTATAATGATCATTCTCTACATACGCATTTTTACTGTGGTTCACAAACAGTCAAAGATGATCGCTCCCCATGAAGAAACTAGCACCAACCATGAAGAAACTGTTGCTAAGAAAACTCCAAGAAAGAATTTGATAATCATTAAAACTGCAATGATTGTACTAGGCATTTTTCTAATGTGTTGGATACCAATGGTCATTTTCCTTGGAGTTTACCTTTGGGATGCTAATATAACTTATAACCTGACATTTTTGAGAATTTTTGAATACATTCGGTACATTTCTGTAGGCAATTCAGGGGTCAATCCCCTTGTATATAGTTATAGGCTGAAACCATTTCGAATGGCATTCTGCAAACTGCTCCACATCAAAACAGGAAATCAAGAGCAATAGATTTGTTGAATGTCCAAATATCCATGCGATAAGAAATATTTGAAATCAAATCAAATTCTTTGACAATTCTAATAAACAATTAATAATAAAAATATTCCGCTTTACACAACAGCACTATTAAGTCAATGGTTACCAGGCAACTAAAATGTGGATAATTAGGATGAATTTGTAAAATATTCTTGTTTCAAAGTGACTGTAAGTGATACTTTAAGTAGTATTTATCTGCCCTTCCCAGACACTAACCTTTACTTTAAATAATTAATAACACTTTGGTTTGGCACTGAGATGAGCTCTACCATACTAAATGCTCATAGATATGATCAAAGGGAAGTGTTAAAAAATGAAATAGAGTGGCAAATATAGAATAATGTAAAAAGACATGACATTAACGTAATACATAATGGCAATGTAAAATTATGTAAACAAATGTGACATAAACTTTATAAATAATGACAAATGTAGATTTATGTAAACAAACATGACATAAGCATTATAAATAAAAGGTGAAAATTGAAAAGCCATCACTTATCTAAACGGATTGCACCAGGAGAAGGATAGACTCTAGATTCACATATTGGACCAAGGATAAAGGAATCAAGCTAAAGATAAGACTATTTCACTTAGAAATCGCAAAGGCCGAAATTTAATATAGACAAACACTAACCTGAAGAGAAATAAATCTTGTAAAAATGGATTACACAGGTTACATGGATTACAATCTAACAGTCAACGAAACATCATATTCTTTGTATTACCCTGAATTCAATGTTTTTAAGTATATCATTAGATTGATAATATGTCTGTGGATTTGTGGAGGAAATGGCTTGGTGATAACTGCATATCTAAAATACAAGACACTACAATCTGACATGAATTATTGGATACTCCATTTAGCAATTGCAGACTTAACTATGGGAGTTGAAATAATTTTCGAACTTTGCAAATTTTTTCTTGATGGAACTTGGACAGAAAATGCTGTCCCACCTCAAGCCTTTTTTGTCTACTGTTCATCTTTTGTGATTCTTTACAACATTTCTACTGTGATGTCATTATTGGCGCTAATTGGTGTAACAGTAGATAGATACATTGCAATATTTTGGCCACTGAGGTATCAAGACATTATGACATACAACAGAGCTAGAGCTGTAGTTGGCACAATGTGGGTCCTCGTTATCGGATATAGCTGTGGTGCAATTTTAGAGTTCCAGCTGAGGACTGGCGCATCAGGAAACATTACTGATTGTACAAAGATATATATTGCAACGGCATATTTGTATGAAGCAGCTTTTATCCTTACAGCTGTAATCATGATCATTCTCTACATTCACATCTTCACTGTGGTTCACAAACAATCAAAAATGATCGCTCCCCATGAAGACACTAGCATCAACCAGGAAGAAACTGTTGCTAAGAAAACATCAAGAAAGAACTTGATAATCATTAAAACGGCTGTGATTGTAATAGGAATATTTCTTATTTGTTGGCTACCAACAGTAGTTGTCACTGGACTGTATCTTTGGAATGTTAATGCCACATACAGTGTAACTTTTATAACACTTTGCGAATATATTTGGTATATTTCCATTGGTAGCTCAGGTGTTAACCCACTTATATATAGTTATAGACTGAAGCCATTTCGAAGAGCATTCTGTAAACTGCTTCATATCAAAACAGGAAATCTTGAGGATTAGACTGTCAACCAAAATAGAATGAAGATAACCAAAGTAGAAAAGGTACTTTTGATTGCCATCCAGCGTAATATGTAATATGTAAATATAATATGATTCAAAAGGTTATGTAATAAAGTCGATATTTTAAAACAATTAGAGACTACACCTTTAAAATATTAGGAACATGATTGCCACCCAGTGTAATATGTAATATGTAAATATAATATGATTCAAAAGGTTATGTAATAAAGTCGATATTTTAAAACAATTAGAGACTACACCTTTAAAATATTAGGAACATGATTGCCACCCAGTGTAATATGTAATATGTAAATATAATATGATTCAAAAGGTTATGTAATAAAGTCGATATTTTAAAACAATTAGAGACTACACCTTTAAAATATTAGGAACATGATTGCCACCCAGTGTAATATGTAATATGTAATATGTAAATATAATATGATTCAAAAGGTATATGTAATAAAGTCGATATTTTAAAACAATTAGAGACTACACCTTTAAAATATTAGGAACATGATTGCCACCCAGTGTAATATGTAATATGTAAATATAATATGATTCAAAAGGTATATGTAATAAAGTCGATATTTTAAAACAATTAGAGACTACACCTTTAAAATATTAGGAACATGATTGCCACCCAGTGTAATATGTAATATGTAAATATAATATGATTCAAAAGGTATATGTAATAAAGTCGATATTTTAAAACAATTAGAGACTACACCTTTAAAATATTAGGAACATGATTGCCACCCAGTGTAATATGTAATATGTAAATATAATATGATTCAAAAGGTATATGTAATAAAGTCGATATTTTAAAACAATTAGAGACTACACCTTTAAAATATTAGGAACATGATTGCCACCCAGTGTAATATGTAATATGTAAATATAATATGATTCAAAAGGTATATGTAATAAAGTCGATATTTTAAAACAATTAGAGACTACACCTTTAAAATTTTAGGAACATGATTGCCACCCAGTGTAATATGTAATATGTAAATATAATATGATTCAAAAGGTATATGTAATAAAGTCGATATTTTGAAACAATTAGAGACTACACCTTTAAAACATTAGGAACATGTATTTGGAAGACATATATCCTATTGAAACTAAATTCCCTAAATATCCAGTCAAAGTTATTATTTCCAGAGGTACAGTCTCCTTCGTTCATGTATCTTTATCAATAACTTTATAAACAGGTCATAATAATAAACTTTTGTCTTCACTTAACCAGCTTTGGATACAAAATTCCCCAATTTTCCAAGACAGCATCTCATTTCAAAATTTCCTGATATTTCGGGCCCATTTGGCCTAATTTCAAAATTGATGTTGGAAAAAATAAGACATTTCCCCGGTACTTCCAGTTCTCTAGGAACCCTTACAAATAGTAACATTTACCTCGTATCTGTCTGCAAGGGTAATCGTCTTGAAGTTCTTCAACTTCCTCAAATCCCAGAGTTTCACAACAGAATCATCAGCCGATGTTGCCAGGTAATAACCTATAAGAACACATTCAATTGTATAACACTTTCATTATGATGACAAGAGACTTTGTGACGTTGTCATGTAATTACATATAAGAACACATTTATGTGTAAACACTTTCATTATGATGACAAGAGACTTTGTGACGTTGTCATGTAATAACATATAAGAACACATTTATATGTAAACACTTTCATTATGATGAGACTTTATGACGTTGTCATGTAATAACATATAAGAACACATTTATGTGTAAACACTTTCATTATGATGACAGAGACTTTGTGACATTGCCAGGTAATAACATATGAGAACACATTCATGTGTAAACACTTTCATTATGGTGAGACTTTATGGCGTTGTCAGGTAATAACATATAAGAACACATTCATGTGTAAACACTTTCATTATGATGACAGAGACTTTGACTTTGATTTATACAATGTATTCATTGACTTTTCTAAACCATTTAGCATTCAAAATTAAAAGCAATTAGGCAAGATGACATTGGAAATCCTTTTTACCATTTTCTGAGAAAGCTATGCTTGTGATTGGTCCAGAATGTCCGGGGAAGTTAGCCACATCTGTTCGCTCTTTCAGATCCCAAATCTTGATGATGGAATCTTCAGTTCCCGTTCCAAAGATCAAACCATCAGGATGAAACTGCGCACAAGTGAGAGCTGAAAAAATGATGAAATCAATGAGACATTTTATAGAGTAACAGGCAATAGGGTCATGAATTGTGCATGCTCTCTGAAAAATTGGACTGTCTGATTTTCTAAAAATTCTATAGTACAGAGTGTGCACTATTTCTTTATACCAAATAGACTGTATCTGGACTCAAACTATTAGTATTTTTCTTCAACTGTGCCCTCTATTTGAGGAAAAGGGCTCATAGGTTTATTCACAAAACTTATCTACAGAAAAAAACTAAAACCTATTCACACTTTGTATTTTCAACATCCCCTCCTTGAGTGATTCGTTTTCAAAAAAATAATATTTTTCCCATCCCTTTTGTCGAGATTTTATACAAGTTGGACACCATGATAACTAACTGATGTTATGTTTCTAATAGTTATTCTGAATTTATTTTCTAATTTTTGATAAGATATGATTAAGATGTAACAAAATTTGTTCCTACCATTTTGTGAGGATGAATCAGATACTTTAGTGAGAACGCGTCCAGTGCGAATGTCAGAGAAAGCCCAATGCTGAAAGTAAAATAGTCAATTATGACAAAATTATTTCACAATTAGAAATTTTTTATTTTGACAGATTTTATCACATATACTGTACACATATATTCACATTGTAGTGGTGAGTAAAGGATGTGTCTGGATATATGCCCTTTTGGTCCCTCAGTCAAATGTATGTGAAACATGGTTTTTATTACTGTCCTAGTTATATTTGATAAGTATATTTACTTTTTCATGAGTTTTGATGCATAATTAACCCCCTGCTGAGAGTTAGAATAAATTTCTTAACAAATAAAAAAGGGTCATTATCATAGAAAAAAACACCAATGGCAACATGTATGACATACAAAGAAGAAATAACTTAAGATCCATCAAGAATTAAAAAGAAAATCATATTTTTGAAATATATCTAAGGATTAAAATATTTTTCAAATTTTTGAATTTCCCGCCAGTTTAATTTGAAGGGGGAAAAACAAGATGGCTGCCATTTGATGTAAGAAATATCAGAAAAAAAGTTGCTTCACTTTTAGTTTTCACATTGAGCACAGTTTTCCGGTTTAGGTTTTTTGACTGATTCTGACTCTTCATCACCAGGTTCATGTATAGAGATTATAAAATTGAAACCAAAATGTTGTGCTCAGCATGAATTTGACTGAAATATGTGTAACTTCACCAACACAATTGAAGTGTCAAAACGGGATGCTCAGTACCTTTGAGTGACTATAATCCCTTGATTACCCAGATAAACACCAATTCACTTATCCAGAAATACCATTCAATGTCTATACAAAGAAAGTAAGCAATGTTTTGGAGGATATGTTTCACACTTTTTGTATAAATAATTCATTTAATATTTGGTAGGGGTGAGACGACAACCCGATGAGTCGAGGACTCGCGGGTTTGGGGCTTCGAGTCGAGTCGAATCGAGTCGAAGTTGATGAATCGAATCATTTTCGAGTTGAGAAAAATATTCGAAAAAATAAAAAAATTCAGAAAAATACTGTCAATATGCATGTTTTTACTCGATATTGCGTTGAATATATAAGTTTCAATGACTTGGATATGCTTGTATTAAATTATTATATTGTATGTACACATAAATGAAAGAATATATGTAATAAAATCAGAATAAACTTACGACGAATTGTGTTTGTTTATATTTCCGGCTTTCCACCATTGACGCATTAAAAATACGAACGGTCAAAAGTGATGTTGTTCGCACTTCGCGCGACTCGAAACGGATTCGAAACTCGAATCGTCATTTTCTGACTCGAATCGGATTCGACTCGAATCGGATTTTTTCGACTCGTCTCACCCCTAATATTTGGCATTGATTTTTTGTCAATTCTGACAAAGTGATATGCACTGTCTTTCATCCCAATATTCTTCATCAATTGTGATACAAATTGATATTTTTGTAATCTCATAAGAAGGATAAGATATTGAAGTTTAGTAATATGTGGGATTGAGTTGGTTTTTCAGACATTACAATTTTCAATATTTTCTAAGTCGATACCCAGACTCATTCCCAGACTCATCCTTTTTTTTGATTGTGGTCCCTCAAAAATTTGAGTTGTGATTCAATGCAAATGACAGCAAGTGAAGTTCACAAATTACCACAATTACACAAAAAATATTTTGTAAGTCCATTACCAAGAGGAAAGAGTGATTGCTAATGGCAGTCAAGCAGCAGAGAGTTTCGAACCCTGCATGGTGAGTACTTACAGAATCGGTAGAGGAGCTGAGAAGGTAGTCTCCAGTGGCGTGCAGACTGAGTCCTGTTACACTAGACTCGTGAGCTCGAACAATCTGGGCACAGGAGGCTGTCTGTATTCCCCATACTCTTATGGTCGCGTCTGGAGATGCTGTGAATACTAACTCCTGCAAAATATGGTACAATCTGAGTAAACACAATCTACAATGTCATGAGTTGTTATAATTTGATGACACTCTGAATCAAAAAACAAACCATTTTAAATGTATCAATCAAACAGACCATGTGCCATAAAGAAGGCTAAACCACTTCTAGAAACTTCTCCCAGATTTCTCAGTGATGTCATCCTTGGTGACAATGATGGTGAAAGTGATGTCATCCTTGGTCACAAAGAACAGTGATGTCATCCATTGGGACAGTGATGTCATCCATGGTGACAGTGATGTCATCCGTGGTGACAATGATGTCTTCCATGGTGACAGTGATATCATCCATGGTCACAAAGGTGTCATCCATGGTAACAGTGATGTCATCCATGGTAACACTGATGTCATCCATGGTGACAGTGATGTCATCCATGTTGACAGTGGCTTACCTCATTGGGATGATATATGACGTTTGTGACCTTCCTTGTATGGCCCTTCAATATGGCAATAACTTGCTCTGTGTCTTTGTTGAACACAACGGCATTCTTGTCATTTCCTCCTGTCACAATTCTTGAAGTGTCTCGCTTGTTGATGTCCATGGATAGGATACCTGGCACACTGGCACTGTGTAGACCCTGGAAACGAAGATCGATGATTGTTTTAAACAATTTTCATACAATTTCGGTGATCTCCCCAGCACTGAGCACTTTAAACAACTAATATCTTATTGCAAGTCCAATGTCAGATGTTCTGTTATACTAGAATTGTTCTTATTTTTCTTATTTTCAAAGTAAAGTCATTTCATGATAGGAAGACGCATAAAAAACCAAAGCAATTTTTCTGAGCCATTACATGTTTAGATAATTACAACATGTACATGTTCATAGACTTATCACTATGAGTATTCATATATGTGTAAGTGTTCATATAGTGTGTAAGTGTTCATATAGTGTGTAAGTGTACATATACGAGGGTACATTTAAGTGTTCAGACACAAGTGTTCATATACTTACCACATGTGATGCCATTTGTCTGTATGAACGGATGGATTCCACTGTAGCAAGGCCTTCTGGGATTGTTTTACCTCTCTTCTTACGCTCAGCAGTGAGAAGCGTGGCCTTATCTTGAAGCTAAAAAAATAAAATTGAGAACACATCATGATATTGACATATTCAGATTCACCTCCAATCTGCACTCTAAAATCACAGTACTGTATGGTACATTAAGAGTATGGTACTGTACAGTACCATTTGAGTATGGTTTCATAGGGTTTTGTTAGAGTATGATGCTGTCCAGTGATCACAGAAAGTGTTCATCCCAATCCACACTCTAAAATCACAGTACTGTATGGTACATTAAGAGTATGGTACTGTACAGTACCATTTGAGTATGGTATCATAGGGTTTTGTTAGAGTATGATGCTGTCCAGTGATCACAGAAAGTGTACATCCCAATCCACACTCTAAAATCACAGTACTGTATGGTACATTAAGAGTATGATACTGTATAGTACCATTGAGTATGGTATCATAGGGTTTTGTTAGAGTATGATGCTGTCCAGTGATCACAGAAAGTGTTCATCCCAATCCACACTCTAAAATCACAGTACTGTATGGTACATTAAGAGTATGGTACTGTACAGTACCATTTGAGTATGGTTTCATAGGGTTTTGTTAGAGTATGATGCTGTCCAGTGATCACAGAAAGTGTTCATCCCAATCCACACTCTAAAATCACAGTACTGTATGGTACATTAAGAGTATGATACTGTATAGTACCATTTGAGTATGGTTTCATAGGGTTTTGTTAGAGTATGATGCTGTCCAGTGATCACAGAAAGTGTTCATCCCAATCCACACTCTAAAATCACAGTACTGTATGGTACATTAAGAGTATGGTACTGTACAGTACCATTTGAGTATGGTATCATAGGGTTTTGTTAGAGTATGATGCTGTCCAGTGATCACAGAAAGTGTTCATCCCAATCCACACTCTAAAATCACAGTACTGTATGGTACATTAAGAGTATGGTACTGTACAGTACCATTTGAGTATGGTATCATAGGGTTTTGTTAGAGTATGATGCTGTCCAGTGATCACAGAAAGTGTTCATCCCAATCCACACTCTAAAATCACAGTACTGTATGGTACATAAAGAGTATGATACTGTATAGTACCATTTGAGTATGGTATCATAGGGTTTTGTTAGAGTATGATGCTGTCCAGTGATCACAGAAAGTGTTCATCCCAATCCACACTCTAAAATCACAGTACTGTATGGTACATTAAGAGTATGGTAATGTACAGTACCATTTGAGTATGGTTTCATAGGGTTTTGTTAGAGTATGATGCTGTCCAGTGATCACAGAAAGTGTTCATCCCAATCCACACTCTAAAATCACAGTACTGTATGGTACATTAAGAGTATGGTAATGTACAGTACCATTTGAGTATGGTATCATAGGGTTCTGTTAGAGTATGATGCCGTCCAGTGATCACAGAAAGTGTTCATCCCAATCCACACTCTAAAATCACAGTACTGTATGGTACATTAAGAGTATGGTAATGTACAGTACCATTTGAGTATGGTATCATAGGGTTCTGTTAGAGTATGATGCCGTCCAGTGATCACAGAAAGTGTTCATCCCAATCCACACTCTAAAATCACAGTACTGTATGGTACATAAAGAGTATGATACTGTACAGTACCATTTGAGTATGGTATCATAGGGTTTTGTTAGAGTATGATGCTGTCCAGTGATCACAGAAAGTGTTCATCCCAATCCACACTCTAAAATCACAGTACTGTATGGTACATTAAGAGTATGATACTGTATAGTACCATTTGAGTATGGTTTCATAGGGTTTTGTTAGAGTATGATGCTGTCCAGTGATCACAGAAAGTGTTCATCCCAATCCACACTCTAAAATCACAGTACTGTATGGTACATTAAGAGTATGGTACTGTACAGTACCATTTGAGTATGGTATCATAGGGTTCTGTTAGAGTATGATGCTGTCCAGTGATCACAGTAAGTGTTCATCCCAATCCACACTCTAAAATCACAGTACTGTACAGTACATTAAGAGTATGGTAATGTACAGTACCATTTGAGTATGGTGCCATACATTGTTCATGATATGGAACAGTACTGTTTTAGTCTACAGTAACGTAGTAAAAATGGTACCGTGCGGTACTATTGGAGATTGGCTGTATCTATAGAGAAATATGAGGTAAATGAACGTGAACTATTACTTACCTTCTGCAGTACGTCATCAGTCATGCCGGCCTCCTCCATTGGCTCTTCAGCTCTTTCTGGGGCCTCAGCACCATAGGCCTGTAATGTAGACCAAACATAATACAGGGTCACATTTTAAAATGAAAAAAACAGTTGGAAACAGTAAGCCAGTAAATAAATAAAGCAAACAGGCTTATAATTAACACTCTAAATTGTATAGAAATGGAAGAAAATTTTGATCTTCACTCAAATTTTTAAGAGATATTGGGATGAATAGACAAGAATTGAATAAACATTCAGGTCAAATATATAATGACGGCAAACTTGTGTGAATCACTTACGGGAGCGGCAGCCGGAGCAGCAACCCCAGCTTGGGGTTTCAATGTTGCCAAAGCCTCACGGGCGGCTGTCACCTCCTTAGTTAGACGAGCAATCACACGACAGGCTGCATCGTGCTGGTAGAGGGCGTGACTGAGTTCTTGACGAGCTGTCTGGAGCTGCTGGCGTAGTGTAAAGCTGTGTAACATAACTGCATCCTGGAAAATACATGAATATTGTGTACAACTACAGAAAATCCATGTATTGGTAATACCTACACTGAATCATAGGCAAGCCACACTCCTTTTACAGATAATTTCATCATTTTGATATGAAAGATCTTGGTAATCTAAAATACATTTTGTTTCATGGCCTAAGGAGAGATAGAATCTGAAATAAAAAAATTAGCTTCTTAGGCAATTTAAAATTCAATATGTAACATCTCCCTTCTATGACTTAAGAAAATATTTTGTTTTTACCATCCCACTCTCCTAAAAGTTGACCAGAATTGTCAGGACATTTATCATATAATTAACTTTGAATGGTCTTCCATGCAGAAAGTGTCATGAGCTCCTGTGAAGGAATGTTCAATATCAATAAGCTTACCCATTCATCCTGCAGAGATTTGAGGATGGCTGGTATACTTGTGGCTGAAGGGGGACGAGGCTTGGCCAGGGGAGAGGCTGAAAAATAGCACAATAACCTTTATAACAAGAGTTTCTGTGAAAAGCTTATGTTTTTATGGCCTGTGATTTCAGACTATAAAATGTGCAGTGTATATTATATATTCATGAATCCAATTATGCATCTTATCTGTATATTAGATAAATTCTCACGTTATGAAAAAATGTCATTATTGAGGTTGTTATTATAACCTCAGATGAATTCTGCAATTTATAGTATCATACAATATAGAACTTACAGAGATATTTGTCAGCTGATTAGCATTTAAAATATGTAGATATAAAACAGCAATTTAGGAACCATAACTTTATGTGCTTTAACATATTCTGCTTACTTTTGATATCTATAAGCATTTCTACTGTGAGTTTCTCCCCATTCATAGGGTCTGTACCATTCTCCAATACATATTTCTCTATGAGACGTCTCTCATAGACATTTCCTGATGTTGGAGAAACAACAGGGTTGTCTGGGACCTCGTTACTAACTGGAATGGAAGATAAACAGATTTAATACCAGAAGATGTCTTTTATAGACATTCCCTGGCCTGATATTGGAGAAACATCCCTTTTGTCTGGGACCATGTTATGTTACAATGTAATTTCTGGGGTATATATATAAGACAGTAATGAAGGGCATGTGTTAGAATTCCTGGTATATAATGTGTTCAGATATTAATCAGAAATTTTGCATCGAATGAAATACTTTTTCTATTTTTTCCATTTAATTTATCTTTGTTTGCAGAGCTGAAATTTTTTTTGAAATTGTGTCGGTTTTCAAGATTTCCAATGCGATGATGAAGTACAGTATTGAGACTGGCTGGTTGAAATAACGAACAGTCTTCTGGATTGGCTGGCTGAAATGATGTGACGGTCTTGTGGACTGCATTTAATAGAGTCTCTGGCCAATTCTTGTCTAGAAGTAATTTCATCTGGAACACTGTGAACCCATGGGCTTTCCATGGTGAACCATTGGAAAAAGCTGGTGGTCATATTTTATATTTATTATTAATGTTTTAAAAATCGCCAGATAAATAAATCATGAATTAAAATGGAACTGGTTGGGCTCCTTGATGAGATATTGCATGATTTTGTCAGGATTTTGTCAAAAATTAAAATAAACGGCTCCAAGAAAAATGGCGATATTCGAAAACAGCAATAAAAAACATGCAGGGATTTATCTTTGGACGAAGGCCACGATATAGTGGCCTTAGAAGAAGGTAAGACTGGATGGTTGAAATAACTTGTAGGGGAAGTCGTCCTATCATCGCACGGGTACTCAGGGAAACTACTGACGATTTCAAATATGATAACTTAAACTTACTTTGAGAATATGAGACGAAAGATCAACCTTTCCTCTAAAATCTAAGTAGTGTTTGACATTTCTCAATCTCCGAACGCTAACACTCTAAGACCCATTAGACTCGCATGTGCGGTGGTCCTAATTATCGCACAGTCGTCCTAATTATCGCACAGTTAAAGTGGGGGACAAAAATAAATCTCAACCCTCAAAAGTTGTCACAATGAGCTAAATTCTAAGTTTCATGTCTCAAACTCTCCCAAGTGGTAGAAAAATAATTCCCATCCACTTTAAGTAGCACAATAAATGAATCCAAAGCCTCATACCTGCAAATGATGGATAAATCCCTACCAAATCGGACTAATGTTTTCATGAATCGCCATGTTTGTGATCCAAGGAGGATTGACTCCCAGAATGCAACATCAAGTAACCTTATTTATTCGTGACGTATTTCAAAACGGCGGAATGGCATTTTGAAAGCTGACACGTGTCATGTTGCATTCTGGGAGCCAACCCATATTGCAGCGTAATCTGGCTCCAAAATCACCTCAACATTTGAAGAGTCGGCATTAACATGTGAATTCCACATCAAATTTTTAAGTTCTGATTTGTCATTATGGAAACAAATTCCACTATATCTGGACTTACTATGACGGAGAAAATAGAGCACTGAATACACTGAGGTAAGAATTTATTACATATGCGACAACATGTAATTTCCATAGGTTTTGTAATTCTTTATGCCCCCCACTGTATGTCCTGATGATCCAATGCTTAGGAAAAACACTGATTCCATCAAATGACTAACTAAATTGAAGACATATTCTTAATGTGTTTCAGGGATATGTGATTTATAATCAATAATAATGATGATTCTGTTTCATTTTCTTCAAACCCTGCATTGATTGTTTCACATGTGTGAAAGAGCCGAATATATAAACGTTTGATTACATGAAAAACAATGTAATAAGACCTGAATAAAACAAGCGATATGATAAGTCATAATAAACTTTATTATAAAAACTGGTCTAAATCAAAATCACACGATGTATTGTTGCATAAATTTTAAATAAAGTGTTCAAAATTTGAAAAACTCACTTGCACAGCACAGCGCCATTTTGGATTAGCTTCTAATAAAAAGTCATGTGATCGAACGAGAAGTGAATTTCTCTTTGTATATGAGGAACACGATCCCTTCTTTACAAATCGACAAATATCCTTGTATCTCATAGACACAAAAGAAATCTAAATCTTGATTTCAAAACGCGTAAATCATTATAAAACAAGGAATAAAATATATGTTAAAAACGAGATTCTTCGAGAGGTCACGAGAATCCCAAGAGTTCAACATGGAAGGAATGAAGTTGTTCGTGATATTAGCTCCGCTATTTTTGGCGGTTTTTGGAGAAGATGAAGTATCTGACAAAGTGGTTATGAGCGCAAGAGTTGAAGTACGTATATATCTTAAGTTTGGGTGGTTTATATAACTTAAGGTCTCTCTGTATTGAAGTAATTTGCGCTTCAAATGCCCTGTCGCCACGTTGACTTCCCAGTCAAGTGGAAGTTTGTGTTTACAATTTGCTCCAGACATTCGATTCAACACAGCCTTTACATAAACAAAGACATAAATACAAAACAATAAAAAGAAAACAATAACACATTGCTCACAAATGATTCTCGATTTCAAGTCTTTAGTAAGAAAGAGATGTATGTTTATTTATGCTAAAATATATTATTTTTGGATGTTGAACTTGATTGCTTTATTCCGACTGTTATTATTTGATCATATAATTTTTGAGCCTCGATTTGCTTTTAATGGCATTGACTGTTTTCTTTTGTTTCAGAGTTGCAGTGGATGACGACTGAACAGGTTCCCCGACGTGAAGAAATTCGTGTACGAGGACCTACCCCTTTAGTATCCTTTACAAATATGTCATCAACAGATCATTGTTTCGTTACAGTCTGTTACACTGCTTCAAAGGCAAGCAGTTGAACCTGAAAATTAAGAAATCTATAGACCATTGTGCCATAATATATAGAAAAATTTATTCATATTGCACACGAATGACATTTGTATATTTCAGATTATTCAGTGTTTAGTGCAATCAGCCTGTGCCCTCTTGTAATTTGAGGTCTGTCCACCATGTTATTTTTTTGAGAATTAACATGGTAGAGAAGCATCAAAATATAAGAGGTTACAGAGTTTATGAGCCTATTTACAAGCTATCCAACATATACAAATGTCATTCGTGTGCAATATGAATATATTTTTCTATATATTATTGCACATTATTATTTAGATTTCTTATATTTCAGGTTTAACTGCTTGCCTTTAAAGCAGTGTAACAGACTGTAGTTTATAAATGATATGGGCTTTCAGAAGAAATCCTGTGTAAATAATAAGCTTTCTAATGTTGCAAAACTTTGGCAAATATTTTGTATTGTAAATGTAACATCTAAATAGCAAATATAAATTTTTTAAAATTAGACCCATAAGTTATAAGTCCACTCCATATGCACCATGCACTTGCATCCCATGCGTCATTGCATCAATGATTGTCATGGCTATTAAGTTACAAATTTAGTACATACTCTGTATGGAATCTATGGATTTATATATAATAGTAAAATAAGCAATCAGTGGACCACATAGCAAGAGACAAATTGTATGAAAAAAATGCAAACATATTTTAGATACCTAACTATTGAATTAAAGCTTTAATTAACAGGACGCAGGAGGCCACTCAACTCACAATTTTCAAAAGGGTTAGATATCTCTATTTGAACACTCGTTTTAGTGATAACCATACTTCAGCAACCTCTTATAGTCACTTTAAAACACGACGAACTATTACCATTTTCAAGTTATATACTATATCATTGTAACAGGCTTATATATTTAGAGTTAATTATATTTGGAATATATTTCATATTGATATATTTTATTCAATGCATCGTAAATAATCTAGACAATTCACAAAATGACATCAAAAATTAATTTACAAATAGACATGAAAATTCCACTAAATAAACATTACTGATGTGTTTATCTGTTATTTATCTCTGTTGAATAAATAACCATTAGTTGTTCTTGTTTACTCTTACAAAAAAATCATTTTATTTTGTTTGATTTGTTTAACTTCATTGGTATTTGATATAATTTGTAGTTTCTATATTTGTGGAAACACATAATGTTGAGTATTTCAAAAATAGCATTGAATATGGTTCTTTAATTTTTTGATTTTATCATATAGCACAATTCAATGTGCTGTTAGGGATAATGGTGGTCACTTGTTTTAAATAAAATTTATTTTCATATTGTATTTAATTCACACTTAATCAATTCATATCATCTGGGTTTTCCCTTAGATGCATTTAAGTATAAACACTCTAACATAGTAGTATCTACGTCATGACACCTGTGATTTTAATCCAGGTTAATTTAAACTTGATTTTTGTCAAGATTTCAAATCAAATTAATGCCTAGGCTTAAAACATATAAAATGATTGTGCTATTACACTTTATAACCAAAATTCCAATATAATTTAGTGAGTGTATTTCATGCAGTAGTTTATTTTGACGATATGAGTTTGATCAAGTAGAAAGTTTTTAAGACTATATAATGGTACATGAAAACCTGTCTTTTCTGAACACCTCTGCAGTGTTCTCCACATGTTTTTTTCTCAAGTGGGTGCAAAATTCTCATTTTCACAGGTCAGACCAAAATTGATCAAAATATGCCTATTTTTCATGATTTTTTTCATTTTCAAGTAGGTGTAAATGAATTTTCAGGTGAGTGCAAGTGTATTTTCAAAATCTCAAGTGGGTGCTGCGCCCACTTGCTTGTGCTGGGGAGATCACTGCTCTGGGACTGGCTAAAGGTGTTCAAATGAGAAGGTGTTCACATTTCGAGATGTTTTAATATGGTAACAAATGTTAATTAAAAAAATGGGACTGAAAAATGCATACACATCTGGTGTTTAGATCAATATTAGAGGGTATTTGAATGTACATGTTTTACTGTACATGTATATAGATTAGAATGGGAATGCCACATCACCATTTAGACCCTTGTATAAATTGTAGTTTAGAATAATGTAAATTGGCTCCAATTAATCATAGAGCTAAAAATGAAATCAATGTGTATTTAATTAATACAGCAACAATTTCAACTGGATTCTCATTTT